ATGTATGTATACACACATATATATATATGGTTAGGGCTTTATGGCTATACGGCTGTATGGCTATAGGGCTATAGGGCTATAGGCCTGTAGCGCTATAGGGCTATAGGGCTATAGGGCTATAGGGCTGTAGGGCTATAGTGCGGTAGAGCACCCGGGCACCCAGGCACCCTGGCACACCCCCGGGCACCTCCGGGCACCCCCGCGCACACCTCCGGGCACGCCCGGTTTCCGGGGCACGTACCCGGGCACCCGGGCACCCCTGGGCACCCCCGTGCACCCGGGCACCCGGGCCGGCCACCGACATCGGCGGCCCACGCACCTAACCGTGTGGGTAGGACCCCTACAGAGGCAAGCTCTGATTGGGGAATCACCCCGCAATAGCGGATAAGAGTGAGGGGGCGGGCGTGGAGTGGGTCGCGAGTGGGTCGCGTGTGGGTCTTGGTGGGTCGCGGCTGGGTCGCGGCTGGGTCGCGGGCGGGTCGCAGGCGGGTCGCGGGTGGGTCGCGGGCCGGGTGGCGAGTGGGACGACGACAACAATCGACTAGACGTAAGAGTGATTTACGGGCGCAGCCCGTACTTTGATTTTCGCGAGGTAGACAGACTGAACTGAACCACCAGGCCGTTAGATGGCAGTTTTATTTCCGCGGGTGAGGATATGTCGGTAGCAGTTTTAAGCCAGCGGGTGAGGGTATTTCGGTGGCAGTTCTAAGCCCGCGTATGAGGATATGTCGGTGGCAGTTTTAAGCCAGCGGGTGAGGATATTTCGGTGGCAGTTTTAAGCCAGCGGGTGAGGGTATTTCGGTGGCAGTTTTGAGCCAGCAGTTGAGGATATTTCGGTGTTTCAGCGGGTGAGGATATTTCGGTGGCAGTTTATTTCCGCGGGTGAGGATATTCCAGTAGCAGTTTAAGCCAGCCGGTGAGGATATTTCGGTGGCAGTTTTAAGCCAGCGGGTGAGGAAATTTCGGTGGCAGATTTATTTCCGCGGGTGAGGGTATTTTGGCGGCAGTTTTAAGCCGGCAGATGAGCATATTTTGGTCGCAGTTTTATTCCCGCGGGTGAGGATATTTCGGTGGCAGTTCTAAGCCAGCGGGTGAGGATATTTCGGCGGCAGTTTTAAGCCAGCGGGTGAGGATATTTCGGTGGCAGTCTCAAGCCAGCGGGTGACGATATTTCGGTGGCAGTTTTATCTCCGCGGGTGTGGATAATTCGGTGGCAGTTTTAAGCCAGCGGGTGAGGATAATCTGGAGGCAGTTTTAAGCCAGCGGGTGAGGATATTTCGGTGGCAGTTTTAAGCCAGCGGGTGAGGAAATTTCGGCGGCAGTTTTCTGCCAGCGGGTGAGGATATTTCGATGGCAGTTTTAAGCCAGTGGATGAGGATATTTCGGTGACAGTTTTAGGCCAGCGGGTGAGGATATTGCGGTGGCAGTTTTAAGCCAGCGGGTGACCATCACCCGCTCGATAACACCTCGATAACACCCGATAACACGTCGATAATAGGTTTTCGAGATGTGTTCGAGATGTTATCGAGGTGCTATCGAGTGTGATCGAGCTCGATAACGCTCGAGAGCACCTCGATACTCGATGACACCTCGATAGCATGAGGTGTTATCGATGTGTTATCGAGTGTTATCGAGCGGTGGCAGTTTTACGCAAGCAGGTGAGGATATTTCGGTGGCAGTTTTATTTCAGCGGGTGAGGATATTTCGGTGGCAGTTTCAAGCCAGCGGGTGAGGACATTTCGCTGGCAGTTTAACCCAGCGGGTGAGGATATTTCGGTGGCGGCTTTAAGAAAGCGGGTGAGGATATTTCGGTGGCAGTTTTATTTCCGCGGGTGAGGATATTTCGGTGGCAGTTTTAAGCCAGCAGGTGAGGAAATTTCGGTCTCAGTTTTAAGCCGGTGGGTGAGGATATTTCGGTGGCAGTTTTAAGCCGGCGGTTGAGGATATTTCGGTGGCAGTTTTAAGCCAGCGGGTGAGGATATTTCGGTGGCAGTTTCACTTCCGCGGGTGAGGATATTTCGGTGACAGTTTTAAGCCAGCGGGTGAGGATATTCTTGTGGCTGCTTTGATCCAGCGGGTGAGGATATTTCGGTGGCAGTTTTAAGCCCGCGGGTGAGGATATTTCGGTGGTAGTTTTAAGCCAGCGGGTGAGGATATTTCGATGGCAGTTTTAAGCCCGCGGAGGAGGAGGAGAAGGAGGAGGGAGGAACCGAGAATATCTATGCTCGGCGCGGGCATCCAGCAGCCACGCGATGCGTCATTCGCTTGGTTGGCCCAGCCGACGGCTACGCATCCAGCGCGGTGCTGCGCCCGTATATATGCTCGCCCCTTTGCGTGGGGCTGGCGGGGGGCCAAGGGGCGAGCTGTCTGGTGATTTTTCGTTGGAGTAACCTTTGTTGCGGGCCAGTGGGGTTCCCCGATCGCCGAACGCCGAACGCGATAGTAGCGTTTTGCGCGCTTCTGTTTGGTCCCCCCGCGCCCCCATAATTAAAAACCGCGCGCGAGAGGTCACTCTTACTCAGGGTCACTCTTGCGTGTAGTCGAAGCAACAACGACAACACAACAACAATCAACAGCAAACGACAACAATCAACAACACAACAACACACGACAACACACAACCACAACAATACACAACAACGAAAACAACAACACTACAACAACAGCAACCTCAACAGCAACACCACCACCAACAACAACAGCACCACCAACATTAACAACAGTCATTTCAAAACTATCCAACACGTGTATCCTAAACCCTCGCTGCTTGCCCTCTTCGTCTTCGATCGTGCCCCCTTAGGAGTATATCTTGCTTTCCTGCATTGTGTATTTCGTGCAGCTCCTAAGGCAGGGGAAGAGAGGACGGATGCAGTAAAGGGACACGGGGGAGGGAGGAGGATGGAGCACAAGAGAAAGTAGCAAGAGAGGGGGCTATGAGCAGAAACACGTGGCAGAACCAGAAGGGCAGATCAGGCACGTAGACCCTAAGTGGCGGGTCGGGAAGGTGGGCCCAGGCGGCCAGGTCGAGCAGGCGGGTTGCTGAAGCGTGCGTCCCGCATGAGTCGCGAGGAAGTCTCGAGCGATAGCGCGGTTCCCATATAAATCGTAAGACATGCGCAGCGACATCGTGATTCCTGAGTGTCAAGGGAGCGGCGCTGAATAAATTACAAGGGAGTCCCACGCAAGAGCGCGATTCCTGCATTAATTGTAAGGAGGTCCTGCGCGAGAGCGCGATTTGGGAATAACTTGTGAGGAAGTGTCAGGCGGGAGCCACTGTTGTTGTAAACCGGGGGGCCAGACGAGCAGTTTGCTGACCCCACACTGTCACGTGTAGATAGCAGGGTGCGAGCCTTGGAAGGAGTACTTTAATTGAAAATGCAACGGTTGCCAGAGAGGGGGCGCCAACAACTATCATTTTTTGAAATGGGAATTCAACAACAGCAGCAACAGCAATAGCAACAACACCACACACAAACAAACACACAATCAAATTCGCAAACAAACGAACAAACAAATATTCAACCCAACAAACAAACGAACAATCAGACGAACAGACGAACAAACGCACGACAACAAAAACATCACGAGAGAGAGAGAGATACCTTGATACATAAAGAGAATCGTGATATATATATATATATATAGAGAGAGAGAGAGAGAGAAACAACAACAAACATAGGTATTGGCGTTGAGACGCTTGAGGGGGCAAAGAGAGAGAGAGAGAGACAGACAGACAGACAGACAGACAGACAGACAGACAGACAGACAGACAGACAGACAGACAGACAGAGACAGACAGACAGACAGAGACAGGCAGACAGGCACGCAGACAGACAGACAGACAGACTCCAAGTTCGCTGCTGCAGCTCGCTGATCCGTCGGACGGGTTGGCACGCCAAGCTGTCGAGCACCTTCGGTCGGTGGAGTCTTCGTCGTCTTCCGGGCTCTGTCCTGCGTCCACTTTGACTCCGCGTGCCTCGGGAGCGTCCCAAGTGTGCCGTTCTATTCGTGAGGCTTCGCCATCTCGTGTTGCCCTTCCTGTGGGCGGCCTATTCGGTCAGCTTCTCGGGCGGTCGGACAGACTCGTACGCTCGCCTCCTCGAACCGAGGACCCCAGGGGGATGGCTAATGAGCACCCTCATTAGATGCTCGTTTGGGGGACATTCCTGAGGCCCACCTAACGGATATGGTCGACTCAAGTTCGACCCAAGTTCGACCCAAGTTCGACTCAAGCTCGACTCAGGCTCGACTCGGGGTCGACTCAGGGTCGACTCAGGGTCGACTCAAATCGACGGACGCTCGACGCAGCTTCGGCGCAAGAGTGGAGCGAGTGTCTCCAGGAAGGTCCCCATCCAACCCTCATTCCTCTCATTTTTGGTAGGTGGATCTCTCGAGCTCTCCGCCGCTTCTGGCGGTGCGCGTTGCGATCAGGAACACAGCACACCCATAGGAAAGCGCGGCATTGACAGCGTAGCCCTGCACACGTGACAGATGAGCAGGGACACAGCAAAGCTCCAGGATACTTGAGGCACTGACAGTGTAGCTCAGCATTGCTGTCTCCCCGCCCTCCTCCGCCCTCCTCGTGCCCTGACCCCCTCCGCCTCCCCTCCACAGGGCCGGGCCGCCCCCCGTGCTCCGGCGGCTCCTCTCGGACCGGACGCCCTCCTCCCCCCCTTCTCGATCCTCGATCCTCGGCTATAGCCCGGAACGAGCAGGCGCGCAGTGGAGTTCAACAAGAGGAAGCAGCAGCAGAAGGATGGGCTCTGAGCGCGCAGTCTGCGCGTTCGAGCATGCCAGACTGCCCCCAGCCTGGGGGAACATGGGCGCAGCCCTGGGGCTACAAAAAATCGTCGTCGTCGTCGTCGTCGTCGTCGTCGTCGTCGTCGTCGTCGTCGTCGTCGTCGTCGTCGTCGTCGTCGTTGTCGTCGGATCGGGCGCCCTCCGCCCCCACGCGGCCGCGGACCCACGCCGCCGGGCTCCCCCTCGCGCGCGCGCGCGAGGAAGGGGGCGCGGCGCCTCCGGGCGCGGGCGGCGCGGCCGCAGCGCCGCCGACGGGCGCGGAGGGCGGCGGCTGGAGCGCCGAGGCCGAGGAGCCGCGCGGGAAGGGAGGGTACCCCGAGAGCCGGGCGGCGCAGTTGTTTCACAACGGGTGTCTTCGCCCCCGTCCCCCTTCCTCCCCGGAGATTCTGGCGACTCAATTTCTTCGTGCCGCGGGTTTTCGCGTCACTTCGGGCCCCGGGACCCTTACGGATCGATCCGGCTCGAAAAGTGGCGCAGAAAGATGGGGTCTAGGGATCCAGGCCCGATTTTTCACGGCGTTTCAAGTTTTTGGAGACGTCGTATCTCAGGGTCCGCGCGGCCGCCCTCGTCCGATCCCCTCTTTTCCATGCAGGCCAATTGGCCACTCGGTGGCCCCGAGTTGCCACACGCTATAGCGGACCGCCTCTGCCTCGCCGCCGACGCAAAAGTTGTCGCCCGGTTTCGGGCCCCGTGGCTCTCACAAGTCGATCCCGTGCGAAAAATGACGCAGGAAGGTGGGGTCTAGGGCTCCAGTCGTGGTTTCCTGCGGTGTTGCATTTTTTTGGCGCAGCGTCGGATCCCAGGGAGGGGGGAGGGGTGTCCCCCCTTCCCTTCTGTGATTCATCACGTCCATCACCCCCCTCACGGACATCGGCGCGTAGACGTTGCGCCCGCCGCTTTGTTGCCTCTCCTCTCACCGCTGCGCACTGAGGTCCTTGCGGCAAATTCTGGCCACTTGGCAGAGGCCGGTACCTGCCGCACTCTTATTTCATAAGAGCTGCAAGCCCCGTGTTCAAAGACCGATCAACGTTGGAAGCTGCCACCCCCCTTCCCTGCGATCCGACGTCTCAAAAAATTAAACGCCGTGGAAGATCGGGCCTGGAGCCCTAGACCCTATTGTCCTGCGCCACTGGTAGAGCCGGATCGATCCGTGAGGGTCCCGGAGCCCGAAACGACGACGCGAAAACGCCCGGCTCGACAAACATTGAGTCGCCAGGATCTCAGGGTTTCTTCGGCACCTCCCAGGGCCTGGCCTGCAGCCGCTCGAGCAGCCTTCCGTGGAGCCCGGCGGTGTGGCCCTCCGCGCCGACCGGGCCGAGCAGGGCCAAAGCGGCTCCTCGGGTCGCCATCCCGGGGTGGGTCGCGCAGCGCGCGCCGTAAGGAATTTGTGATCAGTGGCATCACGGGTCCCAGGTCCCCTCGGGCAATGAAACAATCATGACGGGTGGCTTTTTGCTATCTTCGGCCTCGCGGGGCCCTTACCTGCCCTCGGGATTGTCAAAAAACGATTCAGGATGAAAAATCTGTCCAGGGGAACGGGTCGAGACCTCCAGGGGTCGACGTAATGAAAAAATCATGACGTCGGGGGTCTGGGATGCAAGTGAAACAATGGGTTCTCACCCTTGTGTTCTTGAATTCGATGCAGGTGCACGCGCGCCTCTACGGGTCAAAAAGGGGGGAACAGCACTTGGGCCGAGTGGCCTGTTCTTATGGGGGGAGAGGGAGATGGAGGGAGGGAGGGAGGATCGAGCCCAGGCATTCAACGTCTTGAAACATCAAGACGGAGGTGCTTTTCGATTTTCGGACCCCAGGGGCCTTTGACAGTCAAAACACGGCTCGTAATGAAAAGCCGGCCTTGGGAAAAAGGCTGCGATTTCTCAGGACCCTGTCTTGAATAGTTCAAGACGTCAGACGTCTAGGGGAAAGCTCGTCGGAACAATGGCAGCGTTTCTTGGCGTTGCTCTTTCTTGTGGGGGCTCCCAGAGGCTTCTCGTCGCCACGACTGGACCCGCCTCGAAGACTGTCAAGATGGACCCTGGAGATAACTAGTCGGGGACCGACCTTTAGCCACCTCTTTCTCAACTGGCCCTCCACCGAGAGGAGGAGGGAGGGAGGGAGGGAGGAGGGGAGGGAGGGATGACGGAGGAGGAGGAGGAGGAGGAGGAGGAGGAGGAGGAGGAGGAGGAGGAGGAGGAGGGGGGGCGGCGCGTGTATTGCCACTATCGTTCGATGTGGCCCGGTCGCGGAACCGCCAATTTCGGCAGCCCCGGGGTTTCCAGCAGGAGGCATATGCACACAGAGGGTACAGTTTGTGAACATGTTACGGGGCCTGCTTGTCGGGCGAAGCGCTGCCGAGGGTGGCATGGATCGTCCTTGTGCCAGGAAGTTGCGTACAAGCAAGGCGCGGCTGGCCTGAGTGTGACAGCGTGCGTTCCCGGCATTCGGGCCATGCGGCCGTGTAATCAGGCTTTGCCTCGGCATGTGTATCCAGCTTGTGGCCTCCAGATGTTCCACATGTGGGTCCAGCCGTGCGTGTGTTTCAGTTTCAGGCCGTCACGCTTCCCGACGGGAGGCGCGCGCGCGGCAGGAGTCCGCAGAGCGGCGGAGCAGGCTGGAGGCGCTGGCCCAGCAGGTGAAGCGCGACCTGGAGGGCCAGAGGCTGCAGCCGCGTCGCCTCCCTCTGCCTCCCTCCTGGTCCCTGTTCTTTCCCCCTTCACCTCTCCCCCCCCCCCCTCTTCCCCCTCCCATCCACCTCCCGTCGGTCCTCCCTCCTCCCGGGTGTAAGCAAGGCGAGGATGTCAAGTGTCCTCGCGGGTGGCTTCTTATGCCCAAGAGTTGTTTCTGTTTTTTCCTCACACACACAACCCACTCCACGTGGGCGGCTTCGGTCTACATGGCGTCTTCAGCGTAGTGCGCACCCCCGGCAACGATGCTCTCTGGCGTATTTTCGCGGATTTCCGAGTTCCGAGTTCCGACGTCCTTCCTCCTCCTTGCCTCCCTCCTCCTCCCCGCTCCCTCCCCTTCCTCCCCCGCTCCCTTCCCCCCTCTGTTCTGGGCACGGTTAATGACCACCACCACCACCACCACCACCACCACCACCAACAAGATCGGAAAACAAACCCGCGATCCGTAGTGGCGCAGCTTGGCTCTCGAGGGGAACCCGCCGCGGCAGCCCTGCCGCCGACGACGACCGAGGCCCCCCTCGCGCCCAGGGGCCAGAGCGGGGCTCGTCAAAACACACGTGTCGGTGGTGTGCATCATCTGAGTCACACAGGGACACGGTTTCTCTGCACCACCATGAAGTCGGGCGTGTCCCTCTACAGGGGAAACCTTGAAGAATATAGTCAACAAAAGTAGTCGGTGGACGATTTTTCGACTGCATCCCCAGGACGAACGTTCTTTCCTCTTGGGCCCGGAACGACGGCTTGAAGTCTTGAGCAGACGCGCGTGAGATAACCGCCGTCGGATCGCGTGAAGTTCGCGCGGGTCCAAGTGTGGCTTTGGCGTCTGCTTCGGTGGATCCAATTTCCGTCCGCGCGGATCGGATTTCGGATTTGCTGGATCCGCGTTTTTTTTGTAAGCGGTGGATCCGAATGTTACCCCGCTTTAAATTATTTATTTGATTAAAACGGGGAACCGGAAGAAATCGGATCTGCGGACCCCGGAACCCGCCCGTGTTAAGATTATGTGGGGGAAGGGGTTCGGTCATTAACTTCCAAGAGGAAAATCTTTCGTCCTGCGTCAATATGTTTGATCATTTTTGGGTTATTGAGTATTTTTACTTTTTCGTCTAAAGCCCTCCTGTAGGAGGACAGGCACGATTTAACACCACCAACAAGCGGGGCGGCTTCTGTTTTTGGGGAAGCTTCCCTCCCACTGTGCGCCAGTGCGCCCAGTGCGCCGCATTGGCGCACTGGGCGTCGTCCGGCACGGCCTTCGGCTCCGATGTTGAATCGCTGCGCTCCTTCTCGCGGGCCTCCGCCGAGAGAAGAGGATGCCGATCTCGGTGATGGTGGTAATATGTTCTGCCTTCCTGGGTGGCCGACATGTTACCAACAGTACCGAAATCTGGGATCGTCTTCCGGGGCTGCCTCCACAGGGGGAAGACTCCTCCCCCATTGTGGAGGCAAAACCCTTCGTTGGTGTTGGTGCCCATTTCCAGGCCTCCAAAATCGCTTCGCTCGTTATTCCGCCTGCCCATTTTGCGCCGCGCTGTCGCCTGGCCGAGTGGTCGTTTGCAGTGCGGATCTGCGGTTAAGTCGGGCGTGTCCCTCTACAGGAGGAATATCAAATAATAGTCAAGAAATAGTTTGGGGACGATTTGTTGATCATCTTTTGGCTATTTGGGGAGCATCCTAGGTTTTTTGGTTTAAAGCAAAAAACAAATCGCGCAACATCCCCCTGTAAGGGGATATGCCCGACCTAAAGCTACAGGGGCGGGGGCTGTTTTCCTGAGGCGTTGCGTTCGGCATGATGTCTGGGGAGGCCTCCTGGGGTCTCTTAAGAAGCCTCTCGGGGGCGTCTGGGGGGTATTTGTTGGGCCTCCTGGGGCCTCTCGGAACCGCTTGGGAGCCTCTTTGAGGGCCTCTCGGGGCTCTTGGGAACGTCTGGGGGCCTGACGGAGGCGGCTAGGGTGCCTCTTGGGAGCTTTTTCGGGGCCTCCCGGGGGCATCTTGATGGTTTCGAGGGGCCTCTTGAGGGCTCCTTGAGGGCCTGTTGGCGCTTCCTGGGACATCTTAGGAGCCTCTGGGGTTATTTCGGGGCTCTCTTGGGAGTCTCCTGGGCCGTCTTAGGGTGATGTTTGAAGCCTTTCTAACCGTCCCGGACGCAAAAAAGGAGAAATGCCGAGAATGTTCGTTTTCCGAAGGGAGTGGAAAGATTAGTGCTTATCGAGGCTACCCTGGGAGGCCCCTTGGTGACCTTTTGAGCCGTCTCGAGGCCATCTTGAGCCCTCTTGGAGCGCTATTGGACCATATTGGGGTCCTCCTTCATCTCTCTGAGGCCGTCTTGGGGGCATCGCAGGCCGTCTTGGAGGCTTTGGGAGCCATCTTGAGCGCTCGTGGAGCGCTCTGGGATGCCTGGAAGGCCGCACCCGGGAGCAGACCATCTCTGATCCTGGGGTTCCAGGGGGTACTTTTCGTCCAGGGACCCCCAGGGGCGGCCACCCGCGCGCGAGCTAGATAGATATACAAGTCAATTGGTCCGCAGATCTTAGCAGGCCTCTGGACCGTTGGGCCGGCGAAGTCTGGCACGGCCTTAGCTCCGATAGTTTTAGCGACTGGTTTGTTTGCGGACGGTGGTGGTGGCGGTGTATACACATTGGCCTCGCGCTTGTGCCCCTCATGTGCGGCTCGTCTTGGCTGAGTGCGGAGGCAGATCATCCTTGGCTATTCGGTGCACATCGTCACCAGAGCGACCCAAGCTGAAGGTCGCGCGAACATCAAAGTCGTAATTAGTCTTGTCCTCGCGCCGACTGCCTTGGCCCAGATGCTACAGCTGCGCGTGATTGTTGACATTGGTCATGTTGTGGCCGCGCACCCTGCTGTCGATCGCGGCCAGCGTTGTTCAACTGGGACTGCCGAGATCTGTACCTGGATATATGCTCTCCCAGGAGGTGCAGTTGACAACTGTGCTGGACCTTGTGGCGACGGACCTGGAATGATGATGATGATGATGCTGAGGATGATGATGATGATGATGATGATGATGATGATGATGATGATGATGATGATGATAGTGAAGATACTGGTGATTATGATGATGATGTTGATGGTGGAGACGGTGATGACGATGACACTTATGATGCTGGTGTGGATGACGATGGTGCTGTTGGTGCGGGTGGTGGTGGTAAGGATGACGACACGACGACGACGGTGGCAACGATGACAATGATGATGGTGATGATGATGATGATGATGATGGTGGTGGTGGTGATGATGATGCTGGTGATTGTGATGATGGTGGTGATGATGATGCTGATGACGGTCAGGATGATGATGTTGATGATGATGCCGATGTTGATGCTTACGATGGTGATGTTGATGCTGGTGATGATGCTGATGATGATGATGGTGGTGGTGATGGTGATGGTGATGGTGATGGTGATGGTGATGGTGATGATGATGACGATGATGATGATGATGATGATGATGATGATGATGATGATGATGTTGATGCTGCTGCTGATGATGATGATGCTGATGATGGCCCCGAACACTATCAATAGCGCCACCAGCGCCCACGGACCCGGTGCGATCGCATTTCTTATCGAAGACGCCTACGGCGAATCACCGCCGCCCCCTGCCTTTTTGGAAGCGCCTATGTGGCCGAAGGTTGTGGCCAGAGGCCTGCCAAGCTGTCGGACCATGTGTTCCCCGAATCGGTTTGGAAAACCTTCGGGGAACACGTGGGCATCTTGAAGGTCATCCTAGCCGTCTGGAGGCCATTCTGACCCTTTCGGGCCTTCTTGGAGGACGTATTGGAGGGCTCTTGGGCCGTCTTGGAGGCTATCTTGAGCGTCGTGGAGACCTCTTGGGCCGTCTTGGGGGCCTCTTGGGGCCGTGTCTTGGGCCTCTTGGGCGATCTTTGTGGGCATTTGGGCCGTCTCGGGCCGTCGGAAGGCAGAAAAAAGCAAATGCCACAATCCTTCAAAAACCCAGGGCAAATCACTGATTTTGGCATTTTCGGGCCTTCCTGGAGGCCCTCTTGGAGGCCTCTTGGGCCGTCTTGGGCCATCTTAGGGCCATGTTCGGCCGTCTTGGTGGGCTCCTGGTCCGTCTGACGCCGTCGGAAGCCGTTTGGGGGGCCTCTATAGGCCGACTTGGGGCCCTCTTGGAATGCTCCAGGGCCGTCTTGGAGGCCATCTTGGGCGTCTTAAAAGCCCCTTGTGCCGTCTTGGGGACCTCTTGGGGCCGTCTTGGGGCCCTCTTGGGCCGTTCTGGGGCCATCTTGGAGGCCTCTTGGTCGATCTTTGGGGGCTCTTGGGCCGTCTCGGGCCGTCGGAAGGCCGAAAAGAAGCAAATGTCACAATCCGTCAAATACCTTAGGAAAATCAATGTTTTTGGCCTCTTCTGGCCTTCCTGGAGGCCTTCTTGGGGGCCTCTTGGGCCGTCTTCGGCCAGCTTTGAGCCAACTTCGGCCATCTTGGTGGATTCCTGGCACGTCTGACGCCGTCGGGAGCCGTCTTGGGGGCCTCTATGGGCCGACTTGGGGCCCTCTTGGGGCGCTTCGGGGCCGTCTTGGAGACCATCTTGGGCGTCTTGGAGGCCATCTTGGGCGTGTTGGAGGCCTCTTGGGCCGTCTTGGGGCGCTCTTGGGGCCGTCTTGGAGGCCACTTGGGCCGTCATGGGGCCCTCTTGGGGGCCTCTTGGGCGATCTTGGGGGCCCCTTGGGCCGTCTTGAGCCGTCGGAATGCCGAGAAGAAGCAAATCCCCAAATCTTTCAAACACCTAAGGAGAATCAATGATTTTGGCCTCTTCGGGGCCTCCTGGAGGACCTCTTGGAGGCTTCTTGGGTCGTCTTGGAGGCCTCTGGGGGGCCTCTTGGGCCGTCTTGGGCCGTCATGGACTCTCTTGGGCCGTCTTGGAGGCCGTCTTGGACCATCTTGGGCGGACTTGGAGGCCATCTTGGCCATCTTGGACGCCATCTTGAGCCGTCTT